TAAGTGTAAACTGAGTGTATAGTGTGTTGAGTAAGTGTAGGGTGAGTGTGTAGGGTGTTGAGTAAGTGTATACTGAGTGTGTAGGGTGTTGAGTAAGTGTAGGGTGAGTGTGTAGTGTGCTGAGTAAGTGTATACTGAGTGTGTAGGGTGTTGAGTAAGTGTAGGGTGAGTGTGTAGTGTGCTGAGTAAGTGTATACTGAGTGTGTAGGGTGTTGAGTAAGTGTAGGGTGAGTGTGTAGTGGTGCTGAGTAAGTGTATACTGAGTGTGTAGGGTGTTGAGTAAGTGTAGGGTGAGTGTGTAGTGGTGGGAGAGCTGTGAGTGGTGTGTCACACCGGTACTGTTAAACAAGATCGTTAAGGGTAGTCGCAGGTGAGAGGCACAATGTCTCTAATTTCCATCATATTTCCTTCATTACCTCAGGTGTTAAAAGTCAGGTATTCTTCAGTGTGTGTCGGGGGGGGGGGAGTGTGTGTGAGTGTGTGTGTGTACTCACCTAGTTGTGTCTGCAGGATCGAGCACTGACTCTTGGATCCCGCCTTCCGAGCATCGGTTGTTTACAGCAATGACTCCTGTCCCATTTCCCTATCATACCTGGTTTTAAAATTATGAATAGTATTTGCTTCCACAACCTGTTCCTGAAGTGCATTCCATTTCCCCACTACTCTCACGCTAAAAGAAAACTTCCTAACATCTCTGTGACTCATCTGAGTTTCAAGCTTCCATCCATGTCCCCTCGTTCTGTTACTATTCCGTGTGAACATTTCGTCTATCTCCACTTTGTCAATCCCTCTGAGTATTTTATACGTTCCTATCATGTCCCCCCTCTCCCTTCTTCTTTCTAGTGTCGTAAGGCACAGTTCCATCAGGCGCTCCTCATACCCCATCCCTTGTAGCTCTGGGACGAGTCTCGTTGCAAACCTCTGAACCTTTTCCAGTTTCTTTGTATGCTTCTTCAGATGTGGACTCCATGATGAGGCGGCATACTCTAAGACTGGCCTCACGTAGGCAGTGTAAAGCGCCCCAAATGCCTTCTCACTTAGGTTTCTGAATGATGTTCTAACTTTTGCCAGTGTAGAGTACGCTGCTGTCGTTATCCTATTTATATGTGCCTCAGGAGATAGATTAGGTGTTACGTCCACACCCAGGTCTCTTTCTCGCGTCGTCACAGGTAGGCTGTTCCCCTTCATTGTGTACTGTCCCTTTGGTCTCCTATCACCTAGTCCCATTTCCATAACTTTACATTTGCTCGTGTTGAACTCCAGTAGTCATTTCTCTGACATCTCTCCAACCTGTTTAGGTCCTCTTGGAGGATCCTACAATCCTCATCTGTCACAACTCTTCTCATGAACTTTGCGTCATCCGTGAACATCGACATGTAGGACTCTACTCCTGTAAACATGTCGTTTACATATACTAGAAATAGAATTGGTCCCAGCACCGATCCTTGAGGTACTCCACTCGTTACTGTTCGCCAGTCCGACTTCTCGCCCCTTACCGTAACTCTTTCCTTCCTGTTAGGTAGTTCCTCTCACCTATATGTACTCACCTATATGTGCTTGCAGGATCGAGCATTGACTCTTGGATCCCGCCTTTCTAGCTATCGGTGTTTACAGCAATGACTCCTGTCCCATTTCCCTATCATACCTAGTTTTAAAAGTATGAATAGTATTTGCTTCCACAACCTGTTCCCCAAGTGCATTCCATTTTTCTACTACTCTCACGCTAAAAGAAAACTTCCTAACATCTCTGTGACTCATCTGAGTTTCCAGTTTCCACCCATGTCCCCTCGTTCTGTTATTATTACGTGTGAACATTTGATCTATTTCCACTTTGTCAATTCCCCTGAGTATTTTATATGTCCCTATCATATCTCCTCTCTCCCTTCTTTTCTCTAGTGTCGTAAGGTTCAGTTCCTTCAGCCGCTCTTCATATCCCATCCCTCGTAGCTCTGGGACAAGCCTCGTCGCAAACCTCTGAACCTTCTCCAGTTTCTTTATGTGTTTCTTCAGGTGGGGGCTCCATGATGGCGCGGCATACTCTAAGACGGGCCTCACGTAGGCAGTGTAAAGCGCCCTAAAAGCTTCCTCATTTAGGTTTCTGAATGAAGTTCTAATTTTCGCCAGTGTAGAGTACGCTGCTGTCGTTATCCTATTTATATGTGCCTCAGGAGTTAGATTGGGTGTCACATCCACTCCCAGGTCTCTTTCTCGAATCGTTACAGGTAGGCTGTTCCCCTTCATTGTGTACTGTCCCTTTGGTCTCCTGGTTGTACTCACCTAGCTGTGCTTGCGGGGGTTGAGCTCTGGCTCTTTGGTCCCGCCTCTCAACTGTCAATCAGCAGGTGTACAGATTCCTGAGTCTATTGGGCTCTATCATATCTACACTTGAAACTGTGTATGGAGTCAGCCTCCACCACATCACTTCCTAATGCATTCCATTTGTCAACCACTCTGACACTAAAAAAGTTCTTTCTAATATCTCTGTGGCTCATTTGGGCACTCAGTTTCCACCTGTGTCCCCTAGTGCGTGTGCCCCTTGTGTTAAATAGCCTGTCTTTATCTACCCTATCAATTCCCTTGAGAATCTTGAATGTGGTGATCATGTCCCCCCTAACTCTTCTGTCTTCCAGCGAAGTGAGGTTTAATTCCCGTAGTCTCTCCTCGTAGCTCATACCTCTCAGCTCGGGTACTAGTCTGGTGGCAAACCTTTGAACCTTTTCCAGTTTAGTCTTATCCTTGACTAGATATGGAGTCCATGCTGGGGCTGCATACTCCAAGATTGGTCTAACATATGTGGTATACAAAGTTCTGAATGATTCCTTACACAAGTTGTCTGAGGCCTTCTTATGTTGCCACAGCCTGGCATATGCCGCTGATGTTAATCCTCTTGATATGGGCTGCAGGAGACAGGTCTGGCGTGATATCAACAAGTCTTTTCTTTCTCTGACTCTTGAAGTATTTCATCTCCCAGATAGTACCTTGTATCTGGGCCTCCTGCTCCCTACACCTATCTTCATTACATTACATTTGCTTGGGTTAAACGCTATAACCATTTGTTTGACCATTCCTTCAGCTTGTCAAGGTCTTCTTGAAGCCTCAAGCAGTCCTCCTCTGTCTTAATCCTTCTCATAATTTTGGCGTCGTCAGCAAACATAGAGAAATGAATCTATACCCTCCGGGAGTCACATATATCAGAAACAAGATAGGACCGAGTACAGAGCCCTGTGGGACTCCACTGGTGACTTCACGCCAATCTGATGTCTCACCCTTCACTGTAACACTCTGCTTCCTATTGCTCATGTACTCCCTTATGCACTGGAGCACCTTACCAGCTACACCTGCCTGTCTCTCCAGCTTATGTACCAGCCTCTTATGCAGTACTGTGTCAGGCTTTCCGACAATCCAAGAAAATGCAGTCCGCCCAGCCCTCTCTTTCTTGCTTAATCTTTGTCACCTGGTCGTAGAATTCTATTAAGCCAGTCAGGCAAGATTTACCCTCCTTGAATCCATGTTGGCGATTTGTCACGAAGTCCCTTCTCTCCAGATGTGCTACCAGGTTTTTTCTCACGATCTTCTCCATCACCTTGCATGGTATACAAGTTAAGGACACTGGCCTGTAGTTCAGTGCCTCTTGGCTGTCGCCCTTTTTGTATATTGGGACCACATTCGCCGTCTTCCATATTTCTGGTAGGTCTCCCGTCTCCAGTGACCTACTATACACTATGGACAGTGGCAAGCAATGTGCCTCTGCACACTCTTTCAGTACCCATGGTGAAATCCCGTCTGGACCAACAGCCTTTCTAATGTCCAGATCCAGCAGGTGTCTCTTGACCTCCTCTCTCGTATTTTCGAACCCTTCCAAGGCTGCCTGGTTTACCCCCCTTTCTCCTAGCACAGTGACCTCACCCTGTTCTATTGTGAAGACCTCCTGGAACCTCTTGTTGAGTTCATCCCATACCTCTTTGTCATTCTCTGTATACCTGTCCTCGCCTGTTCTAAGTTTCACTACCTGTTCTTTCACTGTTGTTTTCCTTCTGACGTGACTGTGGAGTAGCTTTGGTTCGGTCTTGGCTTTGTTTGCTCTATCATTTTCATAACTTTTCTCTGCTTCTCTTCTCACACTAATATACTCATTCCTGGTTCTCTGGTATCTCTCCCTGCTGTCTGGTGTTCTGTTATTCCGGAAGTTCCTCCACGCCTTTTTGTTCAGTTTCTTTGCTTCCATACATGCCCTATTATACCATGGATTCTTCTGTTGCTTCTCGGATTTTTCCCTTTGGGCCGGGATGAACCTGTTTACTGCCTCCTGACACTTTTGGGTGACATACTCCATCATATCTTGTACAGACTTATCTCTGAGGTCTGTGTCCCAAGGTATTTCCCTTAGGAAACTTCTCATCTGTTCATAATTACCCTTTCAGTATGCCAGCCTTTTGTTTCCTAGTTCTTTTTGGGGGGAGATAAGTCCTAGCTCTACCAGGTACTCAAAGTTCAATACACTGTGGTCACTCATTCCCAAGGGCGCTTCCATCTTCACTTCCCTTATATCCCACTCATTTAGGGTAAATATCAGATCAAGCATTGCTGGTTCATCTTCTCCTCTCATTCTTGTTGGTGTGTGTGTGTGTGTGTGTGTGTGTGTGTGTGTGTGTGTGCAGGGGTGGGGTGGGTGCGTGTGTATTAACCTAGTAGGACTCACCTAGTTGTACTTGCGGGGGTTGAGCTCTAGCTCATTGGTCCCGCCTCTCAACTGTCAATCAACAGGTGTACAGGTTCCTGAGCATACTGGGCTCTATATGGCTCTATCCCATGGAAATTCAATGCTATTTACTAATGACGAATGATTAACGCTATTTGTTAATGCTCTGGCCTGGCATTTGCCGGCCCATGGTTCGATTTTCTCATATGGGGAAGTGTTCTGTTTGTATATATATATATATATATATATATATATATATATATATATATATATATATATATATATATATATAATATATATATAATATAAATCTCATTTTCTTCAGCTGTCACTTTCGTAAATAGAGTTGAATTTCGTCAAGTGAGTGACCAAGTCCTCGAGCAGCAGCTCCGAGGTCGTCCTCGAGCAGCAGCTCCGAGGTCGTCCTCGAGCAGCAGCTCCGAGGTCGTCCTCGAGCAGCAGCTCCGAGGTCGTCCTCGAGCCAAGATTATTATTATTATAGAGGATCTCCTAGTGTTTCCGAGCTCGTAACCGCTTAGTAAATACAGACTAAGCCGGCATGATAGAGATACGAGGTAAAGCTGTCGTAAGTGGGCATCGTAAGTGATGGAGGCATCCCAGCCCTTGCTTTGCTTAGTGTGGTGATGGGCTTAAGACCTAACAACCCCCGGAGGGTTGTTAAGACCACAACACCATACTGACCAACCACCGAGAATACCTGTGTGCTGAGCAGCGTCGAGGACCAGAGTATACTCACATATATACACCTAGCGGCGAGATATATGATGTATGAATCCCATTCAGTGGAAATAAAAGCTGCCAGGGTTTAGAATGACCGGAGAGGCCCCGTGCGTCTCCTCCGCTGCCCACGCGCCTACTGATGACGTCACTGGCCAGCGGCCCACCAAGTCACCCTTCTGCGGTTGCCAGATGCCGATAATTTCATATTCACAAATTACATTACAAATCAAGCATTAAGCATATATACATACATACATATAACCACTGTATATTTCCTATAAATAATCGTTCGGTTAATATATAGAACAACATTGACCCGCGTATATTACCGGCGGAAATACAAATATATATAAAGGAACATCGCGCAAGTTTGTTGATAAAATCAATGTTGGCATCTCTGTTTCTCTGACGTCATCAGCATAGTAAACACACTCTGGTCCATTCACTAAACCAGACACTATGCTCGGGGCCCCATGATCGCCAGGATACCAGTCACTTTGTATGTTCCTGGGCTCCTCCAGGCAGTCTAATACCTGTCTAGCCTAGCTTAGCCTAGCCTACCCTACCCTAGCCTAGCCTAGCTTAGCCTAGCCTAGCCTACCCTACCCTAGCCTACCCTAGCCTACCCTACCCTACCCTACCCTACCCTAGCCTAGCTTAGCCTAGCCTAGCCTAGCCTAAGATAACCAACCGAACAAGGCTAAAACAACACAAATACATACTCACGGGAATTCATACATGTTCAGAACACATTCATACACAGCTTAGAACAACATACAGGTGCTAATACGTCCCTAACTGCTGGGATATGAGATAGACTAACAGCTGGTAAGCTTTTGTGTCTCCAAGTTCTAGTTGGAGACCCCATACCCATCCTGTGGGTGGGAGTGGACCCCATACCCATCCTGTAGGTGGTAGTGGACCCCATACCCATCCTGTGGGTGGGAGTGGACCCCATACCCATCCTGTGGCGGTAGTGGACCCCATACCCATCCTGTGGGTGGGAGTGGACCCCATACCCATCCTGTGGGTGGTGGTGGACCCCATACCCATCCTGTGGGTGGTGGTGGACCACCATACCCATCCTGTGGGTGGTGGTTGACCACCATACCCATCCAGTGGGTGGTGGTGGACCCCATACCCATCCTGTGGGTGGTGGTGGACCCCATACCCATCCTGTGGGTGGGAGTGGACCCCATACCCATCCTGTGGTTGGTGGTGGACCCCATACCCATCCTGTGGGTGGTGGTGGACCACCATACCCATCCAGTGGGTGGTGGTGGACCACCATACCCATCCTGTGGGTGGTGGTTGACCACCATACCCATCCAGTGGGTGGTGGTGGACCCCATACCCATCCTGTGGGTGGTGGTGGACCCCATACCCATCCTGTGGGTGGGAGTGGACCCCCATACCCATCCTGTGGGTGGTGGTGGACCCCATACCCATCCTGTGGGTGGTGGTGGACCACCATACCCATCCTGTGGGTGGTGGTGGACCACCATACCCATCATGTGGGTGGTGGTGGACCCCATACCCATCCTGTGGGTGGTGGTGGACCCCATACCCATCCTGTGGGTGGTGGTGGACCCCATACCCATCCTGTGGGTGGTGGTGGACCCCATACCCATCCTGTGGGTGGTGGTGGACCACCATACCCATCCTGTGGGTGGTGGTGGACCCCATACCCATCCTGTGGGTGGTGGTGGACCCCATACCCATCCTGTGGGTGGTGGTGGACCCCATACCCATCCTGTGGGTGGTGGTGGACCCCATACCCATCCTGTGGGTGGTGGTGGACCACCATACCCATCCTGTGGGTGGTGGTGGACCCCCATACCCATCCTGTGTGTGGTGGTGGACCACCATACCCATCCAGTGGGTGGTGGTGGACCACCATACCCATCCTGTGGGTGGTGGTGGACCCCATACCCATCCTGTGGGTGGTGGTGGACCCCATACCCATCCTGTGGGTGGTGGTGGACCCCATACCCATCCTGTGGGTGGTGGTGGACCCCATACCCATCCTGTGGGTGGTGGTGGACCACCATACCCATCCTGTGGGTGGTGGTGGACCACCATACCCATCCTGTGGGTGGTGGTGGACCCCATACCCATCCTGTGGGTGGTGGTGGACCCCATACCCATCCTGTGGGCGGTAGTGGACCCCATACCCATCCTGTGGGTGGTGGTGGACCCCATACCCATGCTGTGGGCGGTAGTGGACCCCATACCCATCCTGTGGGTGGTAGTGGGCCCCATACTCATCCTGTGGGTTGTGGTGGACCACCATACCCATCCTGTGGGTGGTGGTGGACCCCATACCCATCCTGTGGGTGGTGGTGGACCCCATACCCATCCTGTGGGTGGTGGTGGACCCCATACCCATCCTGTGGGTGGTAGTGGACCCCATACCTATCCTGTGTGTGGTGGTGGACCCCATACCTATCCTGTCGGTGGTAGTGGACCCCATACCCATCCTGTGGGTGGTAGTGGACCCCATACCTATCCTGCGGGTGGTGGTGGACCCCATACCTATCCTGTCGGTGGTAGTGGACCCCATACCCATCCTGTGGGTGGTAGTGAACCTACAGTTACAGTCTTGCCAATCAGGATACAGTCTTGCCAATCAGGATACAGTCTTGCCAATCATGATACAGTCTTGCTAATCAGGATACAGTCTTGCCAATCAGATTACAGTCTTGCCAATCAGGATACAGTCTTGCCAATCAGGTTACAGTCTTGCCAATCAGGATACAGTCTTGCCAATCAGGATACAGTCTTGCCAATCAGGATACAGTCTTGCCAATCAGGATACAGTCTTGCCAATCAGGATACAGTCTTGCCAATCAGGATACAGTCTTGCCAATCAGGATACAGTCTTGCCAATCAGGTTACAGTTGAGGGGAGTAGTGCATACAAAATGCCTGTAAGATGGGGGGTTGCCAGGGGAGCCCATGGCACTAATTAGGGATGTAAAGTGCCTGGAGATAAAGAGTGCCACAACGTAACAAGGCCCTCTTGACACTCAGACACTCCCCCCACCCCCCAGCGTCACTCAGGCCACCCCCCCCCCTCCCCCCTCCCACATGGGGGGCTATTTTTAGCTCCATCTATAAAAGTTCTCAGTCTATTTTTAAGACTGATGATTCCCCCCCCCCAGTTTGTCGCTTGTTTACTAGTCTCTGTTTACACCTGTTTACTCCTGTTTACACCTGTTTACTCCTGTTTACACCTGTTTGCACCTGTTTACTCCTGTTAACTCCTGTTTGCACCTGTTTACTCCTGTTTACACCTGTTTGCACCTGTTTACTCCTGTTTACACCTGTTTACACATGTTTACACCTGTTTACACCTGTTTACACCTGTTTACACCTGTTAACTCCTGTTTACACCTGTTTACACCTGTTTACACTTTTTGAGGCTCTCTGGGGTCCTGTGCTTCAACTGACAGCTGAAGGAATCATTGTAGATATATAGTCCTGTACAAGTGGTTCATTGTAGATATATAGTCCTGTACAAGTGGTTCATTGTAGATATATAGTCCTGTACAAGTGGTTCATTGTAGATATATAGTCCTGTACAAGTGGTTCATTGTAGATATATAGTCCTGTACAAGTGGTTCATTGTAGATATATAGTCCTGTACAGGTGGTTCATTGTAGATATATAGTCCTGTACAAGTGGATCATTGTAGATATATAGTCCTGTACAAGTGGATCATTGTGGATATATAGTCCTGTACAAGTGGTTCATTGTAGTTATATAGTCCTGTACAAGTGGTTCATTGTAGATATATAGTCCTGTACAAGTGGTTCATTGTAGATATATAGTCCTGTACAAGTGGTTCATTGTAGATATATAGTCCTGTACAAGTGGTTCATTGTAGATATATAGTCCTGTACAAGTGGTTCATTGTAGATATATAGTCCTGTACAAGTGGTTCATTGTAGATATAATGCTGTACAACTCTGAGTGGAAAAGATATTATAATAAGCCATATAGTGACTTATATTATAATATAGTTTTAAGTAGTGGCCCCAGTGGAGAGTTTTGTATATAATAATTTTGAAAGTTGTAATAAGTTTATTATATTATAAGTTTATAATTTGTGTTTGGTGTTGCTCAGTTAATTACAGGTGTTTCTACCATACATGACAGGTGTTTCTCAGTTAATTACAGGTGTTTCTACTATACATGACAGGTGTTTCTACTATACATGACAGGTGTTTCTACTATACATGGCAGGTGTTTCTACTATACATGGCAGGTGTTTCTACTATACATGACAGGTGTTTCTACTATACATGACAGGTGTTTCTACTATACATGACAGGTGTTTCTACTAAACATGACAGGTGTTTCTACTATACATGGCAGGTGTTTCTACTATACATGACAGGTGTTTCTACTATACATGGCAGGTGTTTCTACTATACATGACAGGTGTTTCTACTATACATGAAAGGTGTTTCTACTATACATGACAGGTGTTTCTACCATACATGACAGGTGTTCCTACCATACATGACAGGTGTTTCTACTATACATGACAGGTGTTTCTACTATACATGACAGGTGTTTCTACCATACATGGCAGGTGTTTCTACTAGACATGACAGGTGTTTCTACCATACATGACAGGTGTTTCTACTATACATGACAGGTGTTTCTACCATACATGACAGGTGTTTATACCATACATGACAGGTGTTTCTACCATACATGACAGGTGTTTCTACCATACATGA